TCCCACTAGCCACACTAGTTAGCCATAGAAGTTAGGCAGTGGTGGTGTATGTCATTAATCCCAGCACTAGAGAGGAATATAAGACAGGAGGAGATGGGTTTCAGTCTCAGTTTTAGGGTTCATGGAGGCAGGGTCGCCCATTTCAGTCTGAGGTAGAGATAAGATCCAGGGACTGGCCACTTTGCTTTTCTGATCTTCAGGCAAGCTTTATTTATTAAAACACAAATAATATACCACTATACGGCCCAGTGGTTAAGAGTACTTATTGACTTTCTTAAGGACCCACTTTGATTCCCAGAGCCCACAAGTGGCTTCCAACTGTCTATAACTTCAGTTCCTGGGATCTGATGCCCTTTTCTGGCCTCCCTGGGAACCAGGCACTCAATGTGGTACATAGACACACATGCAGGCAAAACGTCCACACATTAAAATCTTTTTTTTTTTAAAATCAAAAAGAGTACCATGGGTAGGTTTCAAAAATGTGAGAATAGTCGTTTCTCATAGTCTCACATTTTTTTTTTCCAGAAGTTATATCATTGTAGACCAGATGTCAAGATGTTCCTAGCCTAGGGTTTATTCATTCACAAAACTGCAATCCTGCCAGGACAGATATAAACCATCAAAATAGAAACAGCCTGAGACCTGGGAGCAGAAAAAAGGGAGGGCAGGCACCAGGAGACAAAAAGTGGCCAACTCAAATGACTGGAGACAGTCTGGGGTGGAAATGTACCACATACTTAAATATTAATTATATGGCCTCAACAAAATAACATCTCTACCCAAATCAGTCTCTTAGGGTTATGTCGAAACATGCACCCATGTCTTCACTCCGTGTAATGGTAAATTTTAGGTGTCGATTTGGCTTGGCAGTCATGACCAAATCTTAGTCAGTCAAGTCTAAATGTTACTGGGAAGTAGGTTTTAGCAGGTAACCCTCCCTGATTCAGGAAGACCCATCCAGTCAGACAAGAGAACACACAGGTTCCCAGGAGATGAAGGGGTGAGTGTACCACACGACATACAGACCCCAGCTACAACACTGCCTCTTTCAGGGTTCCTGGGTATTAGTCACAGTTCTCACCGCGGTGACAAAATCAGACAAGAAGAACTTCAGAAAAGACAGGTGCTGTTGACTCACGGCTTGAGAGCAGGGCCCATTGTAGGGAAGAAAGCGTGAGGCTAGTTCTAACATTTTTGACATGTGTTCCTCCTCCACTTTTGCCATGTGAGGCACCTGCGTTCTTTTCTCTTCTGTATGTGTGGGACACAGTGAGTCTTATGACACGGTGTGTTTCCTGGCTGGGTCTTCTCCCCTCAGTTAAACCTCTCTGGCAACACCCTTACAGACATATCCAAATGTTTATCTCCTGGGTGATTCTAAATCCAGCCAACCTGGCCATCAAGACTAGCCATTGTTTGTACCCCTAACCCCAAATCTGCTTTTCCAGGCCAGCCTGGCCCCTCCCTGAGAATCCAGCTTTACTGGCAGCCACACACCCTGTGGGGAATCTGTGTGAGGACATCTCCTGAGTTTTTCCTCTATATGATAGTGAAAGCATTTTTAGATTCCAGCTCCGGGAAATAGACTTTCCCATCTCTATAGCCAGACATAGCCAGTTGCTCAGATCTCTAAAACACCTTCCTTCTACCCTGTGGTTTACTACTTTTGTCAAATACAGCTTGATGACAGAAGATACACTATTTTTATTGTATACTTTTTAAATGTATCTACAGAGCAATGAAGTCATTACTACTGCACATAGAAAACCTTTTGGCTCAGTGTTTGTACCTATTGATAAGCCACCCCTGTATGCTGGTCCCTCTCCTAATTTTGTTCTCCTTCCTGGAACCCAAAAACTGGCTCCGTAGCTCTGTTTCTTCTGAACATTTTTTGAAACAGAATCATATGGTACTTGCGCCTGGCTTTTTCGATTACGCTAATGTTTTTGACGTTCATCCACAATGTGGCATTTGTCTGTACTTTATTCCTTTTATTGCCGAATAGTATTTCATTGCATGGTCATGCCACAGTTTGCTTATGCATTCCTCCGCCCACCGTTGGTCTGTTTCCACCCTTTCCCACAATAGTTTTTGTTCCACAATAGTATTGCTCCACAATAGTACTGTTCCACAATAGAAAATGCTATGGTGAACACCCATGTACAAGGTTTTGTGGGACACAAGTTCTCATTTTTCTTGGTTATGTATCCCAGAGTAGAATTGCTGGGTCATATGATAACTCTGCTGCCACCATTTGAGGAACAGCCCAACTCATGCCCGTTCTACAAGCATGTACAACACTCTCAGTTCTCTGCGTGCCTGCCAGCTTATGCTTGTGTATTGATTACAGTTGTGCTGTTGGGGAGGCTATAGTACATTTCTTTACTCACTGCACTAAGGCTCACTTAGGGGAGAATGACATGGTGGTGATATCTTGTGTCCTGCCACTGAAGACTGTTCTCTGACAGTGATTGGCATGCTATTGCCTCTCTCTCTCTCTCTCTCTCTCTCTCTCTCTCTCTCTCTCTCTCTCT